ATTTTATTAAATTTATGATATTTTCATTTTATTATTTATTCATTACATTAAAGGTTAATACATTTGACCCAAAAGTAAACTTTTTATTATTAATTTTTATATTTCATTTTCGATAAATTCTAAATTATGTTTTTCATTTTCATTATGAATAAAAAGTTTCTTGTTTATAACACTTATTTTTCTAATTTGATTAATAAAAATATCATAAATATGTCTAATGTTTTCTACATTTTTATAAGTTTCAATATTTATTTCTATTTTAAAAAATTTATTACCTAAATATGATGTTGATCAATTTGATTTGGATGGTTGAATTTCTTAGCCCACCACTTGGATAAAGAATGGTTTTGTTTTTGAGTTGGTTTTAAAATATAAATGGGATTTAATACCTTAACTATAAAACTTAATGAGAGGGGATTAAATGAGGTGGAAGGCAATAATTGAAGTTACGTTTTTAACCCTTACAATTAGAGATGGATTAAATACACAAATGTTGCCATTATGGATGCCATAAAAGCTGCCATTAAAACTATAATAAATGACTTTTCTACTCTTTCTCAAACAAAGAAATAGAGGCTAATTTTAGTTCAAAAGGAATTTCGACAACATTCACACTTTTATATATAGTATTGAAATGAAGTGTGTTTATCTTTTGTTTTAACTTGTGTTAAGATAGAGAGGGAATTAATGTTAGTTTTTGTTAGGTGGATCTACATAGATTTGTGTTGTCTATTTTCTTTAAAAGATCATAGCATTGGCAGGACAACCATGGTTTCCATGCTTTGATAACTTGAAAAAAAGAGGGGCAAAATAAACATTGTACCCTTTTGTGAAGAAGCAATGATGTCCAATATTTCAATAACCTAGGGGTCTTTTTGAGTATTTTACCCTAAAATATATAATAGAATTTATATAATATGAAAYATTATATATAATATGTATTATATGTATTATTTATAATATCTATATACATAATATGATATGATATAAAATATATATATAGGTATATATTTCATATATATACATAATAGATTGTGGGCTACACTTGAAATATTGCTCCTAGGTCCAAGCCCAAACATTTTCAAGCTAGAGAGAAATAACCAACCTTAGTCTATGACCTATTTACTTTGATAGATTAACTATTAACCCTCTTATATGTCTAGAAGGTAATTGATAACTCTCCATTTTGATGCCTAAAGGGCATCAATTCAGGGGTATTTCCAGCCTTAGAATAGTCAAGATGTGCCTTTTCCCAGTTAAATGCAATGTTGTGGCCACCGTCCATTCTAGCACACTCTCTTTTTAGCATTCTAACCCTAGGGGCCACCTAACTTCTAATCTTCATCATTCAGCCTTTTGACATTAAATCTCAACCTTACATAATTTTGGGTGCCTTCTCCTTTACTTCTCAACCTTAGAATCACCCTAGATCCATCCTAACCCTTCATTCTAAACCTTAGAGCACCCATATTTTTGCTAAAACCTAGTTGCCGCCCCCCACTTTCTCTCTAATTCCAGTTATATCCACCATTCTCTATAAAAAGAACCCCAGGGGTCTTGGAGAAGGGGTTGGTCAATTCACCCATTTAACAAGGCTAAGGTTTCTTGAGGAGTTCAAGAGTTGTAGAAGGGGAGGACGCCTAGATCTTGTCAAGAGGGGTTCCTGCAAGCTGTTCAACCATTCTACAACAACCGCCACTGGATTTGATCAACCATTCTTTTTTTTTCTTTATTTTCTATTTTGCTATGTTTATTTCTGCAATCTTTTAGATTTAATTATTTTTCGTTTCTCTATTTTGCAGACCTGAATTCGTTCGGTTTAAGGCTAAGGTGTCTCAAGGGGTTCGAGGGTTATAGAAAGGGCAGACACCCAGTTCTTGTCAAGAGGGGTTTCTGCAAGCTGTTTGGCCGACTTGCAGCTACCGCCACCGGATCCGGATTCTGGGTTGCTTTTTTTATTTATTTCTTTTATTTCCTTTGTTGATTCTCATACTTATTAAATTCTAATTTTTATTTATTATCTTGTTTAGATTCAAAACATTTAATTTCAACAATAATAGATTTTATTTTCGTATTTTTTACCATTCCCGATTGCATTCTCTTGTCCGAATCAAAATATATATTAATTTTTCACTTGCTTCCCTATGGATACGACCCGTTCTCACCCATTTACTACATTAGTAGTTGTTTGAGAAATGGTAAAAATTATAAATTTTAAACTGGTGTTCCAGAGTGTTTAATGACACACTTCCGGACACACCAATAATCACATTAGGCTTTCATAAATTGTCTCTTTACTTAAGTATGGGCTGATTTYAGGATTTGTGGTATTAATTATGTATTATTTTTATATATTCTTATTATTTTTTTATTTTTTAAATTGATAGAAAATAATTTTATGACTAATAGACTTTCAGTTTTTTATAGTTTTCTATTAATTGTATTAAATTACTAACTTAATTAATTAATGAACTTATTAAGTTATTAATTAATTATTTGTAGTGTAAGTTATCAAGTTAAATAAATAAGTGTAGTCACTCTAAACTTTTTCTCCTTTTGTTCAATAAAAGAACAACTCTTTTTCATTTTTTTCCAAGGATATATTAGTGATTGATCTTTCATTAATGGATGCCTTATATGATAAAAGTGAAGAGAAGATAGAGAGGAGAGATCGTAGGGATGTGGGAGAGGGGGGAAGATTTAAGGGGAGACTTCAAAGAAAAGGATAAATTAAAGTGGAAATCAAGTGATTATGTGGAGAAATTAAGAACATAGGTGAATATAGATCTTTACAAAAATGCAAAATGGAGAAAATGGAAAAAAATAGATGGGGAAATTTGTAGTTATCTTACCCAATTCTGTCAACCATCGCTAACCTGGATGTAAGGATGCAGTTCAACCAAGGAATCATCGTACCAACTGGTGCCATTTCACTCTTAATAAGGTACGTTGGGAAAAAACCACTGACTTGGTCAGCTACTCGCTGACACAAGCAGTTGAACCATCAACCCATTTGATCGGGACAATAGTTTTGGTCGTCTTATATTTTAATTATTTTTCAATTTTTTTACTTCAAAATAGAATGGGTCATCCATTTAAACCGGATGGTCGAACAACTGATATGGAAACCAGTGGCCAAAGCGGTTTCAGTTTTGGATCGGTTTTTAAAACATTGATCGGTTTTTAATACATTTGACCCAAAAGTGAACTTTTTATTATTAACTTTTATATTTGATTTTTGACAAATTCTAGATTATGTTTTTCATTTTCATTATGACTAAAAAGATCCTTGTTTATAACACTTATTTTTATAATTTGATTAATAAAAATAACATAAATGTGTCTAATGTTTTCTACATTTTTGTAAATTTCAATATTTATTTCTATTTTAAAAAATTTATTTGCTAAATATGAGGTTGATCAATTTGATTTGGATGGTTGAATTGCTTAGCTCACCACTTGGATAAAGAATGATTTTATTTTTGAGTCGGTTTTAAAATATAAATGGGATTCAATACCTTAACTATAAAACTTAATGAGAGGGGATTAAATGAGGTGGAAGGTAATAATTGAAGTTGCACTTTTAACCCTTACAATTAGAGATGGACTAAATACATAAATATTGCCATTATAGAAGCCATTAAAGGTGGCTTTAAAACTATAATAAATGACTTTTCTACTCTTTCTCAAACAAAGAAATAGAGACTAATTTTAGTCCAGAAGGAGTTTCACACAACATTCACACTTTTATATATAGTATAGAAATGAAGTGTGCTTATCTTTAGTTTTAACTTGTGTTAAGATAGAGAGGGAATTAATGTTAGTTGTTGTTAGGTGGATCTACATAGATTTGTGTTGTCTATTTGCTTTAAAAGATCATAGCATTGTCAAGACAACCAATAGGTGCCATTTCACTCTTAATAGGTACATTGGCAAAATACCGTTGACATGGTCAGCTACCCACTGACAAAAGTAGTCGATCCATCAACCCATTTGATCAAGACGGTAGTTTTGGTCATCTTATATTTTAATTATTTTTCAATACTTTTACATCAAAATAGAATGGGTCATCCATTCAAACTGGATGGCCATACAACTAACATCGAAACCAGTGGCCAAAGCGGTTCCGGTTTCGTATCGGTTTTTAAAACATTGATCTTAGCATATACATGCTTTATGAAAGCTATAGACAAAGTTTGAGAGAGAGAGAGAGGTATAACCTAGCTGGGGTGAAAGGGGACAGAGAACGAGAGAGGGTGGGCGAAAGGAGGGGAATGCCAATTTTAACATGCAGAATCAAGTGCTCGTTAATAGGGGTCACTCCTTAATAGGGGAAGAAAAAGGACAACGAAAGGGGAAACATATGACCTGTAGATCTGGATCTATATTTAGTGAAACCTTTTGTTTTTGGTAACCTTTTGACATGTGCTTAGGTTTGCAAGCTTTTTGGCCCTTGTAACATTCAGAAAGTGGAAGACGATGATCACCTTCTATTATACATATTATCATATAAATTATGGCTGTAATTGGGAGTAGGTCCTAAGAAGAAAAAGAAGAAGAAGAAGAAGACGAAATTATAGGGCAAGAATAGAAAATGGGTTCGAAATTGAATCTCCATATCATATTTCTATTGTTCTTTTTGTTGTATGTTGTAGAAGCCCAACATTTTGACGTGACAAAGTATGGTGGAGCAGCCGGTGCAGACATCACCCAAGTTAGAGTTTGACAGACTTTAATGATATCTACTCAATATATAGAATGTCAAATTCATTATATGTCTTGTTTTGTATGTATAAACACAAACACAATCAGGCTCTACTGAATGCTTGGAAGGATGCATGCGCAGCAACAGGGACGACTCAAATTGTTATTCCAAAAGGGACATATACATTGAATGAAGTAAAGTTTCTAGGACCCTGCAAAGGAGAAATAAACTTTCGGATTGAAGGTGTGGTACAGGCTCTGTTCAACGCTTGAAAAGATGCATGCACAAAACAGGGATGGCTCATGTTATTATTCCAAAAGGGACATATATATTGAATGAAGTAAAGTTTCTAGGACCCTGCAAAGGACAAATAAACTTTTGGATTGAAGGTGTGGTGCAGGCTCCACCCGATCCAATAGCCATTAAATCTGATGTCTGGGTTGTTTTTGAAACCATCACTGGCCTCACAGWGTTTGGAGGTGGAACCTTTGATAGCCAAGGACAAAAGGCTTGGACTGTGAACGATTGTAGCATGCATTTTGACACCTGTTGGATACTACCAACAGTGAGTTTTTTTCCAATGAATTAAGTACAACTAATCCAAGTTGTATTTTTCTTATTATTAAAGTTATTTTTGAAATGTCATCAAAATCTATTAAACTTTTGCTTTGGTACAATTAACAGAATGTAAGATTCAACTTTATCACTAATGGTCTCATCCATGACATAACCTCATTGAATAGCAAGATGTTTAACCTTTTTCTATTTGGTGGAAACAATGTGACTTTCCAACATATTACTGTCACGGCACCGGCGAACAGTCTTAACACCGATGGCATCCACATTGGAAGATCAACCGGAGTGAAAATTTTGGATGCAACAATTGGAACAGGTGATGATTGTGTCTCAGTTGGAGATGGTACTAAAGATTTAATCGTCAGCAAGGTAACATGTGGACCAGGGCATAGCATTAGCATTGGCAGTTTGGGTAATTATGACAACGAAGAACCTATGGCTGGACTGCATGTAAGCGACTGCACTTTGACAAACATAGATAATGGTGTAAGGATTAAAACATGGCCTAACTCTAAGCCTGGAAGTGCCTCTGATATCTCTTTTACTGGTATAGTAATGAACAATGTCTCCAATCCAATTATCTTAGATCAAAACTACTGTCCACACGCAATCTGTGACACGGTACGTAATTTTTCTTACTTAGTATATACATATATAAGGGAAATTTAGTAAAACATAAAGATTTAGTGAGTTTAATGTTATATTTCATTCTTTCTTTCTTCTTTGCAGCAACCATCACGTGTTAAGGTGAGTGGAGTTAATTTTGATAACATTAAGGGCACTTTGGCAACACAACAATGTGTAATACTTTCATGCAGCCCGATCGTGCCTTGTGAGAATGTGGAGATTGGAGAAATCAACTTGGTTTATAATGGACCACTAGGACCTGGAAATTCTACATGTTTAAATGTCAAGCCAACCTTTACTGGCCATCAAGTCCCACCTGTTTGTGCTCCACCTGAAGCATGAACAACTATGTGAAGGATAATTAATAACTTATGTATTCTCTTCATGTTTTAAGGAAACAACTGAAATTTTGATATTTGTGCAATGCAATTTTGTTGTTTAAGAGCTTATATGTTGATTGAAATTAGATGCGAGTTTACAATTTACAAAGCCCTCCCTAAATCTGCATTGTTCCGATCCCTTCATCTAATATAGGATATCTTCAAGGTCTTAAATTCATTTTACTTCCTTTAATGAAGGGATCCTTCTACTTGGTTGATGAAGCAACCATCTAACAACTTGGATTTAAGCAAAACTTAAGATTGCTCCCCACCATCTGGGAAAGTAATTCCTCATACCTTACCTACATTCATTAGGGTTCTCCAAGTTTTTATTAAGATCGTCGAATTCACTCAATGAAATATCAGAGTGTACTCTAATACACCCACTATTAGTCTTATTGTTAGCCCAGGTAGCATAACGCAAGAGGGAAGGTGAATTGGGTTCCACACACTTCTTTCCCAACTAATCTCCTTTTCAAAACCTTGAGTGCTAATCGAACGTTGTGGAGATCGGTAATGGGAAAAGTCATGTGACAAGAGAAATAATGTATGTAATAAATTCAAAGAACAAGGAAATCACAACACAAACAAGTTTTATAAAGGTTTGGCCAATGTCATCCTACATCCTCTCCCTGGCGCATCACTAGATCTCTTGGGTGCTAGCAAGACTGTTGCAATGGATAGTCTTACCGGTATTATCGTTACTTTTTCAAGATGCCTTCACTTTCTTACTTAAAATACTAGATGCCCTTGGATACTCTTTATGGGTCGTGTCCAAAACTTTCATTCCTTTCTATCTTAGAAGACAACATGCTAACCACTAGCTATACAATTGCAAACATGATATTATACTATAAACATAGGAATAATACAATGCCTCTTAATAGGCTTTCACATGGTGGAAAACTTCCTTCTTGGTTTATCTTTTGAATTATCATTTTCATTAAAATGATTCAAAATGATTGACGCTACCTAGATCTCCATTCATGCTTTGCTTCTCTTAGCATTTGATAATCATTCTTAAGTTAATGGATACACTTGCACATTTAGAAAACTCATTAAGTTCTCAATGAGTTTGTTATTATCAAAACACATAGTGTTGAAAGTCATCCTCTTTCTTCTTCTATATTTTCAAAAAGTCATCCTCTTTGAGGAGATTGTTCTCTCCACAAGAAAAATGTTCAATTGACTATTTAAAGTGTTTATTTGTTATTCATGATGACTCCAAGTTTTCTGGCAATAATAACAATGGTGATCATGTCCGACAAAGGAGTAACTCATTTACAAACAACCTTTAGGACCGGTTGGTTAAGAATTTCTAGCAAGAGCGAACAATCTCAATTGGCATGACAAAAACTACCATCCACTAAATCATATTCTAGATTCAAGGAGATGTGTTTGGAATGTGGAGAGAATAATCAATGCCTCTTATCAACAATGAGACTATACAAGTTCCCAGAGTAGTCATACTCCTTTTTCTATGTCACAAAACGTTAAAAAAATCAACATTCAAGACTACTTCGTAAAGACACAAATTCATAATGATTAACCCATTTTGTTTAGGTTATAGTGTTGTATTTATTTTACCTGTTTTTGTATAACTAGTAAGTGTGCGCGTGCTTTGCACATGGTGATTCTGAGTGATAATAATTATAGTAATAATATATCCAAAATTTTCTATAAACTTTATGTATTTTGTATTTTCTGTTTTTATATTTTTTCTTGTTTTTTGTTAGTAATCAGATGTAGATTGCAAGTTTCAAATCTAATTACATAAACACCATGTCCAAATACGTGATAATCATATCGAAGTGTGAAGTTTTAAGTATCATAGACATGCCTACCTACTTCGCTAAACTCTCTTTTTTGTAGTGTTATATCTTTTTGTTGTATCTTTCTTTTATTTTGTTCATTTAACAAAATAAAAATGTAAGATTAAAATAGAGTGAATGAGGCAAAAAGTAGTAGCTCAATTTATAATTTAAACCTTACAATTAAATTGAGACTAAATTCTAAAATGTGTATTTTTGCCACTGCATTAAAAACCGGATTATATAGAATGGTCAAACCATTTTGGCCCAGGAACCGATCAAGTCATTGGTTCCCTTTTGCCCTGAACTGCTATTTTACAAAAGAGCCATTGAAATGGTTAGAGAACTATTAACCTGAATGGTTTAACCGTTAAAATGTTCGTCACAATTAATGGCTTTCATGTTGCTTTCAAACGAATTCCAATTTTTTCATTTATTTTAAAATAAATTTAAAAGATAAATGAACTGAAAAAAACTTTCATACCTCATAATCTTGTTCAATTATATATGATACCCAAAATTAGTTAGGCTTTTTAGTTTTTCTATTTTGGTTTTGAGTTTTCTTGTTTCTATGATTCTTTTTAAGTTGTAACAACAAAAAAAAATGCAACCCCAATGAAGAAATTAAAAAAAAAAATCAATGCAAGAGATGAGAAATTAAATACCAATCTTATATTAAAATCTAAGATACACCAAATTCTCATTGAAGCAAATCTTATTCAATGGAGTGGCAACATCAAAATTTATGTATTTTTTTCATTTTTGTATTTATAAATTTTATAAATTTTTATTATTTATTCATGACCTTAAAGGTTAATACATTTGACCCAAAAGTTGAACTTTTTATTATTAATTTTTATATTCCATTTTTGACAAGTTCTAAGTTATATTTTTCATTTTCATTATGAATAAAAAGATTCTTGTTTATAACACTTATTTTTCTAATTTGATTAATAAAAATATCATAAATGTGTCTAATGTTTTCTACATTTTTGTAAATTTCAGTATTTATTTTTATCTTAAGAAATTTATTACCTAAATATGACTTCATAGCTTGATCAATTTGATTTGGATGTTTGAATTGCTTAGCCACCACTTGGATAAAGAATGGTTTTGTTTTTGAGTCACTTTTAAAACATATGAATTTATATTGTTAAAGATATTGACATAAATCTAATTAGTGAAAAATAACTTAAATATAAGATTTAATAATATAAAACGGGATTTAATACCTTAACTACAAAACTTAATGAGAGGGGATTAAATGAGGTGGAAGGTAATAATTGAAGTTACATTTTTAACCCTTACAATTAAAAATGGATTAAATACACAAATATTGCCATTATAGAAGTCATAAAAGCTGGCATGAAAACTATAATAAATGACTTTTCTACTTTTTCTTAAACAAAGAAATAGAGGCTAATTTTAGTCCAAAAAGAGTTTCACACAACATTCACACTTTTATATATAGTATAGATGTAGATATGAAGTGTTCTTATCTTTTGTTTTAACTTGTGTTAAGATAGAGAGGGAGTGTTAGTTGTTGTTACTTGTTAGGTGGATCTACATAGCTTTGTGTTGTCTATTAGCTTTAAAATATCATTTCATTGGTAGGACAACAACGGTTTCCACGCTTTGAAAACCTAAAAAAACGAGGGGCAAAATAAACATTGTACCCTTTTGTCAAGAAATAATGATGTCCAATATTTCAAAAACCTAGGGGTCTTTTTGAGTATTTTACCATAAAATATATAATAGAATTTATATAATATAAAATATTATATATAATATGTGTTATATGTATCATTTTATAATATCTATATACATAATATGATATGATATAAAATATGTATATATAGGTCATATATATACAAAATAGATTGGGGGCTACACTTGAAATATTGCTCCTAGGTCCAAGCCCAAACATTTTCAAGCTAGAGAGAAATAATCAACCTTAGTCTATGACCTATTTACTTTGATAGATTAACTATTAAACCTCCTACGTGTCTAGAAGGTTATCACATTAGGCTTTCATAAATTGACTCTTTACTTAAGTATGGGCTGTTTTTAGGATTTGTGGTATTAATTATTTATTATTTTTATATATTCTTATTATTTTTTATTTTTAAATTGATAGAAAATAATTTTATAACTAATAGACTTTTAGTTTTATATTAATTGTATTAAATTATTAACTTAATTAATTAATAAACTTATTAAGTTATTAATTATTTATTTGTAGTTTAAGTTATCAAGTTAAATAAATAAGTGTAGTCACTCCAATTTTTTTTCTCCTTTTGTTCAATGAAAGAACAACTCTTTTTTATTTTTTTTCCAAGGATAAATTAGTGATTGATCTTTCAATAATGGATGCCTTATATGAGAAAATTGAAGAGAATACAAAGAGGAGAGATCGTAGGGATGTGGGAAGGGGGCAAAGATTTAAGGGGAGACTTATAAGAAAAGGATAAATTAAAGTGGAAATGAAGTGATTATGTGGAGAAATTAAGGACATGAGTGAATATAGATCTTTACTAAAATGCAAAATGGAGAAAATGGGAAAAAAATTAGACGGGGAAATTTGTAGCTATCTTACCCAATTCTGTCAAGCATCGTTGACCTAGACGCTAGGACACAGTTCAACTCAGGAACCATCGTACCAACTGGTGCCATTTCACTCTTAATAAGTATGTTGGTAAAAAAACATTGACTTGGTCAGCTTCCCGCTGACACAAGCGGTCGAACCATCAACCCATTTGATTGGGATAGTAGTTTTGGTCATCTTATATTTTAATTATTTTTCAATTTTATTACTTCAAAATAGAATGGGTCATTCATTCAAACCAAATGGCCAAACAACTAACTTGGAAACCGGTGGCCAAAGCGGTTTCGGTTTTAGGTCAGCTTTTAAAACATTGATCTTAGCATATACATCATATATGAAAGTTGCAAACAAAGTTTGAGAGAGAGAGAGGTAGAACCTAGCTGGGGTGGAAGGGGACAGAGAACGAGAGAGGGTAGGCGAAAGGAGGGGGAAATGTCTATTTTAACATGTAGGATCAGGTGCTCGTTAAAGGGGTCTCTCCTTTATAGGGGAAGAACAAGGACAATGAAAGGGGAAACAGATGACTTGTAGATCTGGATCTATATT